TGACCTGAGCCTAAATCAAGAGTTGGACACTTAACCGATTGAGCAACCTGGACATCCCTAAAATGAGATATTGCACTAAAAATGCTTACCACAACATCTGGCATACAGCAATGGCTCAGTGAGTGGTAGCTATTAGTATTCAAAGGACCCACCCAGGAAACCCTAGGTGGAGCTTCCCAAGCAGGCCAGCCACTTGGACATCTTCTCCAGGAAGACCTCTTGTTTTTCTAAGTACCCTTTGGCCTCTTCTTCATGGCCCCCCATTTATGTCTCCTATACTGTGTTCTACTGTCTATCCCTAGCAACATTCACTGGCCTTCGTCTCTGCTTCTCTCCAAGATAGGTAGAGTTTTCAGCATCAAGTAAGCTGGGGCATTGGTGTTTCTGGGGAAGGAAGTCACTTACGTGTTTAGATTGGGAACTGACTACAAAACGCAGCTGGTGTGTGTGTGTGTGTGTGTGTGTGTGTGTGTGTGTGTGTGTGTGTGTGTTTTAACCTTAGAATCAAACAGGATGAGAAGACAACTCTGATTAATCAATTATCTGTTGAACTTCCTCCTACTTGGGTCTTTGTCTTTTTATGATTTGATTTGAGTTCCACAAATAATATGGTGCCTGGCACTGTTTTCCAGTCATTAGGAAATACATTTCTATAAACAACATAATCTGGTCTGACCCCCAGTTCTGAAGAACTCCCTGGGATTTGGTGCGTGTCTTTCCAATAATGATTTTCAAAAGGATTGGACACTGGCAGGGGCTACTGAGAGTCATTGAGACTTTACCTTGCTTTCATTTAACAAGTCTAGTCTCCTGATGTCCACTCTGTGCCTTGGGCATTGTGGAACACAAATGAATTCTAGCTCCGAGGGAGCCCTCAATTAGAGGGGTGTGTTATGGGAGGACTGGGAAACAGACAAAATAAATAATTAGCAAGCAGTATGGTCAGCGTAACAGAGGTTCATTCATAAGGTGCTGAATGTATGACTAAGGAGAGATGAGTAGAAACTCTCCTATCAGTATTGTAAGTAAGAGTATTCCAGGCAACTTCATTGTCAATATTACCTTCCACCTTCATTCATTTGGATTTTTAAAACACATTCAATAGTACAACTTTCTTGAACCATCCAGTACCTGATAGGATAGATAAATCTAATGGTTACATGTTTCTGTTGCTTGCTCAGCATCCATTCTGATGACAGCAGCACCTCATTATTTGTCTGTTGGGGACCACTTCTTTCTGACTCTCAGTTCCTATGGTTTGCATAGGATTAACCCTACTTCATACACCTTCCAGAGATGACTATGTGACCCACCCCTATTTACCAGGGCACTGCATCCCCATGGCCAAAGTGACTAGTTTATGATGGACATGTGATCCCCACTGGAGCAATTAGAGGAAATCCTAGACTTCAGTTGGAACTATTTGTAAGGAGCCTCTCTCTCTCTCTCTCTCTCTCTCTCTCTTTTTACTGGAATCGCTAAAATGAGAGACCATTAGGATAATGTTGTTAGTGACCATCTTTGCCATCACTGGGGGAGCAGAGAGCCTGCTTGCCCAAGGTTGAAGCAAACACAGAGAAAGTTAAAAGAGGACACAGGATTCTGCTGATGCCTATGAAGACTGGAACTTATTTCCCAAAGCCCATTCTCACCTTCTTCCCATAACAGAAGCCTCCAAGTTTTAGGTGGGCTCTTGGTCACCCAGAAAAAGACTACATTTCCCAGCCTCCTTTGCAACAAAGAGCAATCATAGGTACTTGCAAGTCACTTCCTTAAAAGAAGTTGCTTGCGTTCAGTTTCATCTTTCTCCCTTCCCATAGGGTAGAGTGTGGACATGGTAGAGGTGAACTATCATCTAGGTAGTTAAGATGATTATGATATGGTGGTTAAGAACATTCTGGTGCCAGGGTTTAACCCTAGGTAGGGGAGGGTAGAAGAAGCAGATAGAAGAAAACTATCTGGGGTGACCTCGTAGGATGGAGCTGCCTAACAGCCTTAGACCACTTCATTGCTTCTGGAATGTTATGTGAGAAAGAAAGAACACTTCTCTCTTGTCTGAACCACTGCTTTGAAGGTGTCTATTTTAGTACATTAGTCATTTGAGGATCTGGCCATGCTTAAACTAACTTGAGGAATAAGAAAACAGCATGGAACTAAAATACTGGAGAATAATATCATGTCTGATGGGAGGGAGTGATCAGATTTCAAGTATTCTAGAGTCCTTTTATGTTTGTAAGGAGAGTAGAGATACTGATTAAATCATTAACCTAAAATGGTTATCAACTTAAAAATGCACATTAAAAGAAAGAAACGGAGTGGGGGGGTACCTGGGTGGCTCAGTCAGTTAAGCATCCAACTTTGGCTCAGTTCATGATCCTGCAGTTTGTGATTTTGGGCCCCACATCAGGCTCCGCACTGACAGTGCAGAGCCACTTGGGATTCTCTCCCTCTCTCTTTACTCCTCTCCCACTAGCACACTCTCTATCTCTCTCAAAATAAATAAATAAACTTAAAAAATAAATAAAATAAATAAAAGGCAAAGAAAGAAAAGAATATAGAAAACTTCATCAAGAGCAGAAAAAGGGTAAAAATTAGCAAAGAAGAAACATGGCAAGTAGCAAATACAATATAAAGTGGTAAAAATATGTTTAAATATATTAGTGATTGAGGTAAATGTAAATAATCAAAATTTTCTGGTTACAAGACAGAGAATGTCAGATTGGAGAAAAACACAAAACAAAGCAAAAGGCAACCAGACATTGTTTTCAAGAGACATAATTAAAACATACTGACATAAACATGGGGGGAAACCTGATGGGAAAAGATATAGTAAAAAAAATACTAACCAAAAGGAAGTTGTACAATTATATTACAATTAAACAAAGAAACAATGCTTCTAAATTGACTCATGAGTTTAAAAAGAAATTAGAGGGGCTCCTGGGTGGCTCAGTTGTTTAAGCATCCGACTTCAGCTCAGGTCACCATCTCACGGTCTGTGAGTTGGAGCCCCACATCGGGCTCTGTGCTGACAGCTCAGAGCCTGGAGCCTGCTTTGGATTCTGTGTCTCCCTCTCTCTCTACCCCTCCCCCACTTGCACTCTGTCTCTCTCTCTCAAAAAAAAAAATATTAAAAATTTTTTTCAAAAGAAATTATAATGGATTAGAAAATAATCAGAGCCAAAAGAAAATGAAAACACTGCATATCAAAGTTTATGAGCTGCAGCTAAAAACAATATTCACAGAGAAATTTATAACCTAAATACATACTTTAGAAACAAATACTATTAAAAATACTCTAGTGATTAAACTCAAGAAGTTAGAGACAGTACAGAACAAACCAAAGAAAGGAGAAGGGGGAAAATATAAAGAAAATAGCAAGGTAATTAAATATATAATGACCATACATTGGAGACTGTCAAGAAATCCAAAAGCTTCTTCCTTAACATAGACAAATCTCTGACAGTCTTATCCAAAAACAAAAACAAACAAGCAAAAAAGTCACACACCAACAATTTTCAGGATTGTAACAGTTAGGAGAGACAGTTGTAGATATAGCACATATTTAAAGAATGGTTGGCCAGAATTACTCTTAGCTGATAAATTTGAAAAAACTTACGCAGTAGCTAATTTCCAGGCTTGCCTACAATTGTCTTGACTTCCTGGTGGCCACAGCTTTGTGAAGTCTTCTCCCACACTGACTAGAGCTGACCTGTGTAACCAGTAGGATATCATGAAAATGATGGCATGTGACTTTCAAAACCGGGTCAAAAAAAGACTGTGGTTTGACTTTGTTCTCTCTTGGATCACTCACTCTGGGGAAGTCAGTCCCATACTGTGATGATACCCAAGCAACTCCATGGAGAGCTCCACATGGTGAGGAACTGAGGCCTCCCCCTCTCAGCCATGAGTGACCCAAATTAGGAGGGAATCTTCTAGACTCACTCAAAGGTTCAAAGGACGGCGACCCTGGCTGACATCTTGACTGCAACTTCATGGGAGACCTTGAACCCAAAGCACCCAGCTCGTCTTTCCTGACTAGGAATCCAGGAATCTGACCACAGAAACTATGTGAGATAAATATTTCTTGTTATTGAAAGTGCTAAGTTTGGGGGTAATTTATTTTAACTGAGTTATATGTATTTATTTTAAGTAGACTTTATTTTTTAGAGAAGTTTTAGGTTCACAGCAAAATGGAGCAGAGACGACAGAGAGTTCTCATTTCCCCTCCTCCCACACCCACACAGCTTCCCTCACTGTCAACAACCTATCCCAGAATGGTACATTTATTATGATTGGTGAGCCCACATTGATGCTACATCACCCAAAGTCCACAGTCTACATTAGGCTTTACTCTTGGCGTTTTACCTTCTATGGGTTTTGACAAAGGTGCAATAACATGTATCCACCATGATAGTACCACACGAAATATTTTTACTGCCTAAAAAAAAATCCTCTCTGCTCTGCAGATTCATCCCCCTCTCCCTCCAACCCCTGGCAACCAGTGATCTTGGTTTTGTCTTTAGTACTATCTCCATGGTTTTACCTGTTCCAGAATGTCATACATTGGGATCGTACAATATATATAGCCTTGTCAGCTTGGCTTCTTTCACTTAGTAATGTACACTTTTTGTTAATGTTTACTTTTTTTTTTTTAATTTTTTTTTATTTTTGGGACAGAGAGAGACAGAGCATGAACGGGGGAGGCGCAGAGAGAGAGGGAGACACAGAATCGGAAACAGGCTCCAGGCTCTGAGCCATCAGCCCAGAGCCCGACGCGGGGCTCGAACTCACGGACCGCGAGATCGTGACCTGGCTGAAGTCGGACGCTTAACCGACTGCGCCACCCAGGCGCCCCAATGTTTACTTATTTTTGAGAGACAGAGAAAGCACTAGCAGAGGAGGAGCAGAGAGAGAGGGAGACACAGAAGCCAAAGCAGGCTCCAGGCTCCGAGCTGTGAGCACAGAGCCCGATGTGGGGCTCGAACTCACAGACTGCGAGATCATGACCTGAGCTGAAGTCAGATGCTCAACCGACTGAGCCACCCAGGTGCCCCAGTAACATACACTTAAGTTTCCTCCGTGTCTTTCTACGGCTTGATAGCTC